CAGAGGTTGAATACCCAGAAGGAATATTATGTGTTGAGGATTCCTAAGTTTTCACCATTTTTAGCTAAATTTAGTTAGAAATAAACTATCCTAATCCTTTAGCTCTCATTACTGTTTTGTTAGTGATAAGCAGAGCAAGTAAAAGAACTTCAGTGTTACTTTTTGCTAAAAATGCACAATATTGATTAAAAAATAATAAAAAAAAAAACAACAAAATTTTTAGTCACATTTGCTTTGATTAAAAACTTTCAATATGACTTCCTTAAGCATTTACAATAAAATATGCTTTTATTTTCATTCTGACTATGTTTGCAACTAAATTCAGCATTCCACGTTGATTGATTTGTTTATTTTCCTGGAGCGTGAATCATGCTGTCCTACATACCTCAGCTAGAGTAGTGTCTTTCTAAAAGTGCAAAGATTTCAAAGGATTCTGGAAACAGGGCGTTTAAATTCTACTCAGGAGTGCTTTAATAGGTAGTGAACCAAATTAATGAATCAGTACAAACACTAGAAGGTTTTCTGCTTAATGGCATGCTTTGAGATTTACTTTTCCACCTCAAATCACAAAACTTTTTACAAAATGGTAAATCTCTTTTCAGTCAACTCGCAGGCTTTTCAGTCTTTCTTGCAGGTGCACTTGACACAACAGGAAAAGAACAGATGAGAGAAAGGAAATACATCAGTTTTATTTAGTAGTCTCCTAAAAAGAAAGTAGACATCTATGTTGTTACTCTTCCATGACAAAGAAATAAGAGAGTTCTCTTCTCTTCTGCTTTTTTAGTCTTTGTTTCTTCGTATGTCTTTTACTATTTTATTTGCCATCTTTTGTCTGCTGAAGGGAAATAAATCACCATCCCCGACAAAAGAAACACTAAGCAGCTTTCACCCTTGGTTATGATTACAGCTTACTGAAATTACAAGTGAACCTTTTGAGTGCTCCAAGTGAGGAAGTGTGAAAAGGAGCAAAAATATTCTCCCCAAATTTAGCGAGGGTTTAGTACCTAGTATTGAACAGAAATACACCTGTCTACTAAATGTTCCAGAAATTAGGTATTTCATAACATTTCTCTCTCTATGCCCAAATTTCTAGGACTACTGTAAATGGCAATATGACCGTACTTTCTCATTTGAAGAATCCATATCAAGTATTTCTTTCTGTCTACCTTCGTCTTCACATGTCATGGTTCAGACACAGCTGTTGCCAAAATAAAACGTCTTTCTTACAGGATATTTATGTAACAGAATGCATGTTTACAGTTTTGAAACCAGAGGTGAGATTTTATGTTGTAAAATTATTCTGCAGGAAATCTTTTCTTGCAGTGATTCATGGAAACTCCATTGAATTGTGCAAATTGTGCTCCATTAAATTAAATTGCAGGAAAGCAGCTCATAAATGGAAGGAGAATGTAATTATAATACTAAAAAACAACCAAACAACAACAACAACAACAAAAAGCAACAAAGAAAAACCAACCAAACAGCAACAACAAAAACTTTCTTGCTTTATTTATGACATTTTCAACTAAAACCACAAGTGACAAACACAGACTGTGGTTGTCATGGGGGAAGGACTTCATATTACCCCAGAAGAAATGGAAATATAGTTGTAGTACTAATAGACACAATAATGGGGGAGCATGTTGAAATGCTGTGTTGTGAATCCAGCAGCTTAATCTATCCATTGATGTAAAAAGCAAAACATCAAAAATAGTGGCGACTCAGAGCAGGAACTGCTGGTGGCCCATGTTTCATGAGCAAGAAATTCAGGATTAGAGATCCAGAAAGATTTGGCAAAAGGAAAGGCAAAGATGAAGTGGTGATTTTCTGTACTCCACATTTCCATAAGAAAATTTGCAAGTCTTGCATACCCTCCAGGCTCCCTACTCCTCTGCAGAAGGTACTAAGGAACTATCACTGCTTGCGATGGACATCTTCTGAAGCTCCTCGTGATGGACAATTTCCTTACAGAAAACCATGCCAAGGGGACCTACCATTTTTGGAGAGCTCTTGTAGGCACAACAGCAAAGCCCAGAGCCTTACAATCCCAGTTCAAGGGGTACCTAAATCTGGGAGGCAATTAGGTTTTACTGACAGTTCTGTCCCATAAGTGTATAAAATCTGCCTTTAACCTTTAATGGCTCTGAATCCCAAATGTTTTGCAGCATCTGTGTGTGTTCTTCCCTTCTTTCTTGTCATTGTGTACTTTCTAAAAAAGCAAGTTTATGTCCAGTTCTGCGCTCCCTGGTGCAAAAAAAGACAGGGGTCTTCTGGAGAGAGTCCAGTGGAGGGCCACAAAGATGATAAAGGGCCTGGAACATCTCCCCTATGAGGAAAGTCTGGATGACCTGGGTTTGTTCAGCCTTGAGAAGAGAAGACTGAGAAGGGATCTTATTAATGTTTATAAATATCTTAAGTGTGGGAGTCAAAGGGACATGGCCAACCTCTTTTCAACGGTCTGTGGGGACAGGATAACGGGAAATGGTCATAAATTAAAGCATAGAAAATTTTGCACCAAAATGTGAAGGAAGTTTATTCAAAGTAGAGGTGACAGAGCACTGGAACAGGCTGCCCAGGGAGGCTGCAGAGTCTTCTCCTCTAAGTTATCTCCTCTGGAGATAGTCAAGACCTGCCTGGATGCCTAGCTGTGCAGCTTACAGCAGGGCGCCTGCTTTGCAGGGGATTGGACTCAATGATTTCTAGAGGCCCCTTCCAACCTTTACAATTCTGTGATTCTGTGATTTATTAGCTGCTTGCAGAAAATTTGTGATTATTCCTTTTATAAAACTCAGTGTAACAGATATTCAACAACTTTGTGCCTGGTGTGAAAGTTCTAATGGAAATTTTCACCTGTATTTCAACCTCATAAATACATATGCTTCTTATAGGAATAACATCCGGAGGTGAGATCTCTCAGTCTCCAAGTCCAAAAGTCTTTCACTTTCACAGGCTTAACATTAAAGTTCTATAAGTACTTTGGAATAGATAAAACCTTTCTATTTGTTTTGGGAAATGTAGGCATGAATGGCTGTCACTTGACAAAGATTTGTAAGGCAATAATGGTTCGTGTTTACTATGATTAGTCATGGGTAGAAGAGTTGAAATAGATGGCATTACATTTTTTTTTTTTTAAGAGCTGTGTGTCAGCAAATGCCTTTTCTAGTTCCCCCGAAAACTGAAGAGTTGGTTTAATTCTTGATACAACTCCACTGACAAGAAGAGAATTTCATCTGCAATGAATTTAGCTCGAAGTATTTTTTGCAGTTGTGGCTGTGTGTTCAATTTCATGTGCATGATGTATTCAGAACACATCTCTGACTTCTTTGCAATTTCTATTTTCTTGTTATTACCAGTTTGATACTGACTCTCACTATTTCCACATATTTTTAGTTGACATTTGAAGCACTGTGTCTTATTGATCAGATCAAGGAACTACAGAAACAGGCCCACACTGAACTTCTTACTGCCATGGCTGCGCTTTTTAAAATTTTTCTGGATTGTACTCTGTTTACTTTTAGAATTGAATATTTCTTTTTCACTTTAGTAGAAGCTTCATTTTTTGCCAGGTCTCAAGACTCATTAATAGATGTGTTGTGAAAGGGCTACGAATTTAATCAGTAAGATCTTTGCTCAGAAATCACCATTTTTTCGGCAGAATGGCTTTCGCCAGCATGACATACTCAGCACTGTGGGCTGACCACTACTTTGAGAGACAGACACACTGCTCCAAGGTTAAGACTACACAATTACATTAAAGGTCTTATTTGACTAGATCTGAGGTTAAGTGACAGTAACTACTAGCCTCTCTTGTGGCAGATGTGTCTTGAAAAGAGATACTTGCAATAAACAATGGAGGTGATCAGAGTCCACATGTAAAGGGATATGCTTGCACTTATTCTCTGTTCCTCTTTATTCATAAAAACACCATAGATGTATCCAAAGTTATCAGATGGCTTGGCCTGGAATCCTTGAAAGGTCCATAGTCCCATTCTTCACAGAACGTGCTGTTGATTGACCATTTCACATCATTCATTGCCATTTCTTCAATTTTTGACCCTTGGCTTTTGTAAAATTACATCCCTGTACTACATGCATGCATCTAGTACTTTGAGATATGAGTTCCTGTTTGCAGCTGCTAAATAATGCTCACTGTCTACAATAAACAAGCCAATCCATAAGGTACTTGTGTCTGCCAATAAAGGTTTATAAAGGTAAGACAGTGAAAGTGTGGCCCTTTTTTGTAGACTGCAAAACTGAAACTCCTTTTGCAGAATTACAGGTGACACCAATAAGATATCTTTCAAAAACCGAAATGCAGAATCTGTTCGTTTAGTTAGAAGAAGGTGTGTGACTTCTTATGCTGTTCCTTCTAGCCTTTAAAGCACACAGTCTGTCCCTGGCTTTTGATTATACACAGCCTTTCTCTTACATACAGTTCATATCATAGATATACAAAAAATAATTGATTTCATGTTCTCCTTTCCCCAGTTAAATATATATATATATATTTAGCATTTACTTGGAATGGATCTCTGTTTTTTTTGGACAAAAAAAAAAAAAATCTCAAAAAATATTCGGTATTACAAGACAGCAAGGTCTTGACATCCAGAATATATAGAATGGATTTAGCTCTTGAGGAACTTATGGCATAGTGTTCTAATGCAGACATCAATTTAATTTCAGTTTGTGATTTTCTGTGTCACAATCACATGACAGTGAGGTGTGGTAATGATAATGTATAGATGGTAAAACTACAGAAAGCCATTCAGCAGGGAAAAAGTAGCTGTTCAAAGCTAGAAATAAATGAGACAGATAAAACAGTGCAATAAGTAGAAGGGAGAAGGCAGTTTTCAGAAGATAATTTTAATTGATTCAGTTCGTTCAGGAATAATATCAAATGAAATTGGGCTTTTAAAAATTAATATTTAATTAGTATATTAAGCATGTTTTCAATTTCTGCTTTGACATATTGCTTTTCTTTCTTGACATTTTCTCTCTAGATTTTCAAGCCAAGTGTTCATGATATGATCAAGCTAGCTTACAGAGAACAAGAACACTCTTTTGAATAATGGTTAAAAACGGATCCCACCTGGATGCTGAAACACTTGCAATGCTTCAAAATAAAGCTATCTCCATCACTCTCCCAGTGGTATATACAGTGGTGGCTATTATCAGTATTCCTGGCAACTTTTTCTCCCTTTGGGTGCTCTGCTGGCACATAAAACCCAAAACACCTTCTGTTATCTTCATGATCAACCTGAGCATCACGGATCTCATGCTGGCCTGCTGCTTTCCCTTCCAGATTTCTTATCACATTCAGAGCAATCACTGGATCTTTGGCAAAACTCTTTGCAGCCTTGTGACTGTGATGTTCTACTCCAACATGTATTCTTCCATACTGACTATGACCTGTATCAGCATAGAGAGGTACATGGGCGTGGTATATCCCATGAAGTTGATCAAGTGGAGGAGAAAAAGATATGCCCTGGGTGCCTGCGTGGTAATGTGGATTTTCTTGCTACTAGCTTTCTACCCATTGGAAAGCACAGATCTGACCTATGAAGTGAAAGAACTGGAGATTATAACCTGTTTTGATGTCCTCAAATGGGAGATGCTGCCCAACTTCGCAGCCTGGGTAGCCTTTCTTCTCACTCTATTTGTCGTGCTCTTCCTGATTCCTTTCATTGTAACAGTTGGATGCTACATCGGCACCATTCGGAAGCTTATTCAGACATCAAGCAGATATGGTAACAAGCAGAAGACTAGATCCATATACCTGGCAATTATAGTTCTTTTGGTATTCATCACTTGCTTTGCCCCCAATAATTTTATCCTACTTGCACATATGATTGTCCGTCTGTTTTACAAAGGGAGTTTGTACCCTGCCTACAAGCTCAGCTTATGCTTAAGTTGCCTCAACAACTGCATAGATCCCTTCATTTATTATTTTGCATCTAAAGAATTTTACCAGAAGTTCATGCAAGTTTTTCGCCCTAAGGTACCACTGAGTGACAGCCTGGAAACCAGAAGAGAAAGCTTATTTTCTGGCAGGACCATGTCAGTCAGGTCGATGTCAAGTGGACCTATGGATGGCTTAGAGGGAGTGAAGATCTGCTTGCAAAGGCAAGAAAGTGTGTTCTAGCCTCAGGCAGGAAAGCACCTCCGAGTTCCATATGCAGAGGCAGAAAACGTTTCTTTTTGAATAGCTACTCCTTTTTGAATAAGTTTTCTCCAGTGACAGACATCAAACCATACTCATACTGTGCATGCTACTTTAGCAAACAACTGTTTGCTGATAAGAAGTGCAAGCGCAAAAGAAACTGAGTTTATTCAAAAAACCACTGAAGAAAACCCAACATAGTTTTTTAAGGGTTAGCCTGGAATTAGTCCAAAGGATAAGTTTAGAACAAGAACTACATTTAAGATGTATGATTTCAAGCATTACCCAAAGCTTGACGTCCTAGATGAATGTGAAATATTGCTGCATATGAGTTAAAGCTTATGTTGAAGAGGGATTTGGGGAAGGGGAGTTATTTTTCTAAGCACTGTGTTTTGGGTTTTTTTAATGTATTGCTTTCTCTCTTGTATTTCTATAAAAGCTTGTCATATATATATATATAAATAGCTTGTCATTTTACCATTAATGCTTAATACATAGCCACTGTGAATTCACCACAACACTCACTCAACTGTTTATCGGAATCAAACCACACTAACCTTTGAAAAGGTTAGACTGACTCATATTGTTTACTTCAATTTTATCTAGCAAAATATCTCATGCAATGAAAGAAAAGCTAAAACAAAGAGTATTTGAGACAACTTCAACGCATGGATTACATTTTCATTTTCTGAAATTATTAACTTCTCAGGATGGAGAAGGAGGTAAAAGAAGAGAAGATAATGTGTTTAAAGTAAAAACAAAACAAAAAGAAAAAAAAAAATACACAAACAAATCCACTGCTTACTTACTTGGGAATGTAGTGTCCAAATCCAGCTCATTCAGTGTCATTTTCTTCAAGCATGCCCTACACAGTTGCCTGCTCTAGCCCTCTAAAGAAAGAAATAATAATAATAATTAAAAGCTATACAAGACATAGCACAGTACTTTCAGTAGTTTGGACGTGTGCCTCTATTTACCTACACTTTCTGAAAAGATACACAAGCTGGGTTTTTCCTAAGAAGTCCCATCATCGCAAGGCAGAAATTCAGTTATACATGTTTTGCAGGTCCATGTGATAATTTAGCATGATTTTGCCTTGCTTTCAAATCCCTCTTCCATCCACTTAAAGCATTACAGCTTTCTCTCTACCAAAACTGTTTTCAACACTTCGGCAGAAACTGTTTTGTCACTTATCATAATGTCCCCTTCTTTCTCCCTCTTTTTATTTTTTTTTTCTTAACATGCAAATAGTTTTCTTTGTTATTTTTCCCAGTTCTAATGTGGATTTTCATTCTGTTTGATTTTGAATTTAATCTTCAAGCACTTATTGCATCCTGAAATGTGCTGGAATGTCTCTAATGTAACTGACATCAAACAGAACAGAAAAGGCAGAAGCTTTGCACGTTGAACATCAACTGTTATATTTGGAAAAATACTGAATTGCTCCTTTTGCAACACAGAAAAGCTGCTCACAACTGACTGAAAATGTTCTTCTCTCCAGCTTCACTCACCATAACACTTCATCCTTTTCTCAACTGTGCATCAAAAGCAATAGGAATGATATCCCATGCAGGTACTTCTTCGTATCAGCTGGCCTCAAGTTAGCTCACACGCAAAATTTCAGTTTTTGTTAGTGGGATTGTTTCCCAGAAAAGGAATGTGGAGGCGAACAACGCTTTGAATTTGACAGTGTATACTATGAAGCTTTGGGGGTTTTTTAAAAGAAGATGAGAAGTTACTTCAAAAATAGCCCAATGAACTGCTCTTCGACACTGGAAACATCCTCGAGGGACACCAGAAGGTGCAAGACTACTACCCTCCTTGTTCGGTATATGTGAATTTAAATGTATTTATATGTGTATATGTACATACATATAAGCGTGTGTAGCCATTTGAGAGGTTATTGTGAAGTTCATACATACACTGCCTTCAGTTTAGGGAAACACTGTTTCCCACAGCATTCTCTTAAAGAAGCTGGCAGCCTGTGGCTTGGACACGTATACTCTTTGCTAGAATAAAGAACTGCTGCATGAATAGGCTGAGAGTGGTGGTGAATGGACTTAAATCCACCTGGTGGCCAGCCATGGGTGGTGATCCCCAGGGGTTGACACTGTGATCTGTCCTACTCAATACAATACGACCTGGATGAGAGCATTGAGAGCACTCTCAGCAAGTCTGCAGATGACACCAAGTTGGGAAGAAGTGTCGATCTGCCTGAGGGTAGGAAGGCCTACAGAGGGATCTGGACAGGCTGAATCACTGCACTGAGGCCAATGGGGTGAGGTTCAACAAGACCAAGTGCCAGGTCCTGCACTTTGGCTACAACAGTACCAGGCAACGCTACAGGCTTAGAGTGACTGGAAGACTGTGTGGATGAAAAAGACCCGGGGGTACTGGTCAACTCTCAGTTGAACATGAGCCAGCAGTGTGCCCAGATGGCTAAGAAGACCAATAGCATCTTGGCTTCTATCAGAAATAGCATTGCCAGCAGTAGCAGGGTAATGTTATCATCCTCCTGTACTCAGCACTGGTGAGGCCAGACCTCAAGTACCGTGTTCAGCTTGGGGCCCCTCACTACAAGAAAGACATCGAGGACCTGGAGTGTGTCTGTGGGAGGGTAACAAAGCTGTTGAAGGGTCTGAAGCACAAGTCTAATGAGGAGCAGCTGAGGGAATTGGGATTATTCAGTCTGAAAAAGAGGAGGCTCAGGGGAGACCTTATCGCTCTCTACAATGCGAAAGGAGCTTGCAGAGAGGTGGGGGAGGGAGATAAGTGGCCTCTTATCTCACATAACTACTGATAGGAAAAGAGGGAATGGCTTCAAGTTGCACCAGGGGAGATTATATCAGGTTGGATACTGGGTAACATTTCTTCTCTGAAAGAGTGGTCTGGTGCTTGAACCACCAGGGAGGTGGTTGAGTCACTGTCCCTGGAGGTGTTCAAGAAACATGTAGGCGTTGTATTCAGGGATGTGGTTAGTTGGGAAATATTGGCGGTAGGTGGATGGTTGGACTGAATGATCTTGGAGGTCTTTTCCAACCTTGGTGATTCTATGATTCTATGATTTTATGATTCTAGTATGAGTTCTGAATGACATGCTTACTAGATTGCCTCTGTGGCAGTAATTTTACTGAGAAGCTATGAATATATATAAGCTCATGTTCTGTTTGTTGTTATTGTTGGATTTGTTTTTTTATTGCTTAACAATTTAATGTCTGAATGTGCTTGAACTTTTTTATATAATAATAAATGAATAAATAAACAAACCGTGAAAAAGACATGATTTAAGATGTTTGCACCTATCATGTGCAAGTTACTTCTCTGCTTAGAACAAGGCATGGAAATCAAGTTATTAAATCAAATGAATTGGTTTTCCATTGCTACTGCCCCTTTTTTCTACATCTGTGAAAATTTTAAAGTTTCTCACTTTTCCAAGCACTCTGAAGACTGACTTTTTTTTCTTTTCTCTGTATATCTATTCATTTATTCTTCTATACTAAAGCTTATGTATAAATACTAGAGGCTGGCAATGGGATTCCCACTTCCCATGGCTAAATCTGAAAAGCAACAATACTAGAATACTGGACAAGTTGAACAACTTGAAATTATTTTCCACACCCAATAATTGCACCAAACCCATATATATCCTAATTTCAAGGCACTTATAAAAGGGGGCCAGAAGGGCAGGTCTTGTCACACCACCCCAACCATGGAGTTGGCAGCTGAGAGGATCTGTTGCAGCCCCAGCTCTTTTGCTGGGGATGGGATTGGGATGGAGCTGTGGCAGAATGTTGACTGCAGCTGGATCTGGCTGAGCTGTGGCCATGGCTGGGCAGAACTGTGAGAGTAAGAGCCTGGCTCTGTTGCTGTCTCACTGGGGCAGAGGCTGGGCTGGTGGCCTTGGGTCTGATGTGCAGCCTCGGGCCATGATGAGGGAGCCCAGAGGGTGATACTGGACCCTGCTCCTGGGCAGGGTGGGTCAGGCTGAGATGATCAGAGTTGTGGGGATGCTCAGGATATGGCACCTTGTTACAAACCTTCCCTGGACTGTGCTCCATTTGGAGTTCAATGTCTGTTTGGTTGTGTCTATGCTGTTAAGTGAAAGATGGACAGAGGTTGCCCTAAACTCTGTTAGTAATATTTTTATCTGTTTTCTTAGTTCAAGGTATAAGAAATAAGATGAGGCCTACATTGCTGCCCAGCAAATAGGTGATTCTATAGGGTTATATTTAAGGTATGTACTATTTGCCCAAACATATGTGTGAAAACATGAATGCCTGAGGGTGAAATTCAGTGTTGGTGACCACGAAGTAATGCATACAGGTAAACCCAGTCACAGCTTTGCATACAAAGTGATGTGCTTTGCAGGGATGACTTTGTATCACACAAGGTAATTTCAAGCATTAACTCAGTGAAAGTGGAAAGCAAGCAAGTCAAAAATAACAAATTGTTGGGAGTCAGGAGAACAATCTAAAAAAGTTATTATGCTTGCCAGATAGCTGCAAGAGTGGGCAAGAGTTTTTAGACACTGCTTTTAAGTGCCCAGAATGAAAATTCTAATATACAATAAATCTCACAAGAGTAATCAGGATGTAAGCCTCGGTTATTGTACTCTAGTAGTTATATGCATCCTGAAAAAATAAAAAAGAACTCGTTGAAATAAATCATGTACTATCTTCCCTCAATTATGATGAAGTTTATAATCTCAAAAAGACTTGCTGAGAGCAAGATTTCAATCATGCTACTCATACGTGATATATTCTGGATTACAATCATTTTAGATTACATCTTTGTGCATAAGTGTTATTTTGTCAAAGTCATAAAGTATAATCATGGAGAACATTATAGATTAGAGGACAACACTTAGCTGAAATATGTTTTTAAAAGCCTTCTGATGTCATTTGACAAAAAAATCTGTCTGAAGTCTGGACTTCTACAGAACTCTCAGTCTTCCATGATTTGCTTGTAAGGCTTATGATTTTTTATATTTTCCTTTAAGTCTAAATAGCTGGAGATATGTTAACAGCTGAGGAGACTCTGAGGACTCTTAAAGAGGTTGAAGATGTCAACCAGGATACCTTTCAAAATTTTAGCACAAGTAAAATACCACCTGCTTGACTATCTTGGCTAGTTACAATGCCCAGCAGACAGTCTTTCTTTTTCAAGGAGCTTTTTATTCTGTAGAATTTTCAGCTGTGGTGGTTCTCTTTCCACAGCTCCTGCATCAGTGTTCACACAACCTGGCGCTGTGTCTTATCAGAATTGTCCAGGAAAATGTGCACATTATCCTTCAAGGAGCTGCCAAGGCTAATTCTCCCTTGAAGATTTTCCCAGTATCTTCCACATCCTCAACTGTTGTTGCTGGAATATAGGCAAAGAAAATGGGAAAGTGTTTCACTGAGTGCTTCAAATTCAAAGGAACTCAAAGGTTTGATTCCTGCTGTATATCTTAAAGACCTTGTCAAAGGAGAAAAGGCTTTGGGGGAGTAAAAACAGATTCAAGTAAGAGACGGGTGAGGGGCTGAAGAAGTAGCCTCTATGGAAGCTGAGGGAAGTAATACCGTAAGTGAGAGTTTGGAAAAAGATGCAGGAAGTTTGTCTCTAACAGAAATCATCCACGGTAGGAGAATGTCTGTAAATAATTTTCTTCATAAACAGCCAATTTCTTTTTAGAAACATTGAGCCCTTTTAGTGTGAAAGTTGGAAGCAGCAGCAACTCTCCAGATTCTTGCTGCAAAGAAAGGAATGTGATTAACAGATAAATAAACCACTACCTAGATACAGAGCAAACACCTCACAGAGGAACTCAGATATCTAGAAATGTGGGCTTGCCAGGCACAAAAGGCACCGTTTATCTGATCAGAAACTAGATATTAAGTGTTGCTCTCAGTGTCTTAGTGCATGGCAATATACATCTTGATTGCCTGCACTGTTTCTGGAATCTACATAATAGCTGTATTTGCTGTTGGTTGTGTTCAGACATCCAGATGTTAATAAACTTTCACATCATCATGAAGCCACACCACAAAAGGAATGTTAGTATGCTGGGCCTGTTACTTTCTGCTTCTTGAGAGCTTTCTTCTTATTCTGCCATCTTCACGCTTCTAACAGGAGCTTGCTCATCTGATGGAAATCCATGTAGGCTTATAAGCTGGTAAAAATATTCCTGGGGACCACAGCAAACGTGCAAATAGACTGCAAGTCTCTCTCACTTCCTCAAACCTGTATGGCTCCACAGAATTCAAGACAAATATATCATGTTAAATGACTATAGCTCTCATCTCACTGCTTACTTCTATAAAGACCATATACAAACTTCTCACTTTGAAACTCTGCAGGGATGTGCAATGAATTTTTCTTCTTCAAAAGGATTCAGCAATGCAACATTGATGGTGCTATTTTCCCAGCTCCTGCTTACTGACCACAAGCTGACATTTTTCCTTTCCCTATATCACGTTGCTTTCCAGTCTGTGCAGAATGCATCAGTGTCTCACCACATTGTGATGAATAATGTAAATCAGTCAGTATGATTCTTCCTAAAATGTCAATATATTTGTAGCAAGACAACTATTTCCACATACTGTTGGAAACCAAGCCTTCAATGCGGTAAAAAATAAGATACAGTAGAGCAGATAACTTTAATTGATTAATCTGATCAGATCAAGAAGGCAGAAGACAAAAATAAACTCTGTAAGCTAACAGTATTTAATCTAGATTTTACACCTGAATTTTCACGTTCAATGAAGGTATTTGGGTCTCAGTTACTGTTGTTCATATAGTCGTGCAAATTTGTTGGTGAGGCATTAAATGCTGTTACAAACAGGGTATCTTTATGATGTCCCCTTATAGTTCCCATCTCATTTATACATTAACTGTCAAGACTATCTGACATTAACTTTAATTCTGAGTATCCCTATATGCGCGCGCACACACAGAGCTATATTAGGTAATCCTTAGCTAAATCTACCAAATGGTACTTCGAGTGCTTATGGTGTTGGGTTTTTGTCCCTACCAGTTACAGTTGTTCATAGCTATGTGAATACAGCAAAGCCATAGAAAAATGATGGAATCTACTGCCCTCATGTGGAGACTGGCAGAGTAAACATACAAGGAACACAAAACGTTCTTAAATGTGAAGACTGAATTAGGAAATCACTTTCAGGAAGTGCTGGAATTCCAGCTGAAACAAATGAAAATATTCCCTGCATTTTATCTTCGTTTTTTTCTGCCTTTGCAATGTTGTCTTTCCAGTAATCACTACACTGTATAAGCAGAAGAGAAGGAAGACCTAAGAGAAATAGTCTATTTGTTTTTCATACTTAGACAAATGTAGATTTGTATGTGATATAATATATATGTATGTTTTACATAAACACACAAACATATATAGTGTGCATTTTTTTTATATAGTACAGACATTATGTACACATACATTTTCTGAAAACATTTTATTAGCTTGTTTGTATGTCCTTTTGAATATAAGCAATCAAGACAAAGTGGGCTTCACAATCTGATAGAGTATTTACTTCTCTCTGGAGCTTACATAAGCAGTAACAGGAATGAGACAGGGGCAGCACTGAGATTAGATGTGGAATCACAATTGCAGCATGAGCAGGCCATGTGCTTTGAGAGACACAGGAATTGGAAATAGCCCACTGCCCTACAAACATATAAAGAACCAGTAGTGTCGTCAGCAAACTCTTACCCCTCTGTCTCAGTGTCTGTAGGGTTATTCAGCACTGCCCCGTCTTCTCCCCTGAGGCCATTTGTTGGCCTCAAAAGCAAAAGTAAGCTGCAGTTCAGACAAGTTGCTCTCAGTGGCAGATGCAGGGCTGTGGCAACAGCTGAGAAACAGCACTGCTTCTGTATTGTGTAAACTGAC